TTCTTGTAATTGACATACCATCGGAGAACGCCGACTGCGGCGGTTCGCGCGCGACCTACCAGGCCCAGGTCTAGGCAGGCTACGAGGCAGCACGTGTTAATTTACCCAGTTCTAGGCGAGCGCACGTGTCATGATAGAAAAGGACAGTCAAGTAGCGCAGCCAAAAGGCAACGACAACTGCCAAGCCCAAAGAGCTCGTACTGACGTCTTTGATACTCGACCCGTGGAACATTTCAGAGAGGCCGTCGTGCCCTATGGTGCATCTCAGAGACCGCCGCCTGCGTCTAGACATACTCAGGCCCCGTGCCTCATGGAGAAGAAAGATCCAGTTTGGCAGCCCGTGCGCCGACCGAAGGCCGTGCTGACAGGAATCCGATCGCGGCCAGTTCTGCTCTGGCCTTCGGGGAGACCCTACCAGGGTCAAGCGCCCAGGGAGACCCGACCGCCCTCGGCACTGGCGAGGGCAAGGGCAGCCGAACTGATTTCGGGGTAAGGTGTCAGAGGACATGGATCCATGGCGTGGGCCGCGCGTTCCAGCTGAGCTATCTGACGAGCCCGCGGCCGATGGCAAGCAACGGCGACAACGCTCACCACGTGGAAGACGTGACCCAGCGGAATCGAGGACGACGCTATTGTCATCCAAGGGCCAAAGGGGCACGACATTGTACAGGACGCCGCCAACATACCAGCCTGGGCGAGAAGCCAGATGGCGAAGCGCAATCCGCAAATCCTCGCCTGGCGATTTTCTCCGAAGGATACCAGACGGCGTGAATGGAGACTTCAGAGCTGCGTCCCTGGTGAAGGCTGGGAGGACGTTGCGAGAGCGCGCACCGTCGAGGTGAAAATCGCCCGTGGGATGTTGCTCACCTTTTCCGTACATACACAGCTGGCCAATCGGCCGACATCAACGACTTCATTTCCAAATGTCAGCGCAAGAACCGCTTCGAAGACCATGCCCGACGCGGCGCCGACGAGAGCGACGGGTGGAATGATGTCTCAAATGCGCGGGCAACAAGGACACGGCGATTGCACAGACATCGGGACCGCGAGGATTCACGACACGATCGACCTCGATACCAGGGGGGGTGGCTTTCTCCCACCTGTCATGGTACATGGCACTTCAAACAGATCACTACAATCTCCATGGGCCAGCGGGGGAATCTCGTGCCCCAGCCGACATTACGATTGTGCGGGAGGTGGCCGAGACATGGTCCACGCCGTGCATAAGAAACCGCCATGTAAAACACAGGTCGAGCGAATTCAGGGCCCCCACGCCCATGGCCATCGACGAATGGTTGGAAGACTTACTAGAAGCATACGCGTATACCGTATACGAAACGGTGTGGTACTTACGCTCGGACAGAATGGAATGTTCCATCCATGTGCCTGCGCAAGGTCGTGGATCTTGGACAGCGCGGTCTAGCCTAGTTCGCTACGCGGTTCGCTTCGAGCATCATCGCGGCCACCTAGAAGTCATGCTATCGATGGGGAACCACTGTCGAGCACCGATCACTACGTGCAGCACAACCACAACTGATACCACCATTGCGATCGCATGCACCATGTGCAACACCCACCGGAACGACCTCCATCAGAGTTCCATACACCGAGAGAAGCCACGCCACCGCCCAGGCCAAGCAGGAGGCTGGAACGCGACGAGAGCCCGCCTGGCAACGCCATCGACCTCATTGTCGACTTCTACGAAATGATTTCTACACCAACGTCAGCGGAATCTTTGATGCATGACTGGCACAATGAACTGGTCCACTGACCACCATCAATCACATTGAAGCGTACGCCATGACGCAAGAAAGTCAGCAATTCCAAGTGGCCCCGGCTCCTCTCGCGCCGGCCAACGCAGTCCGGGCGCCGCGCAGGCATGATAGCAGCATGTTCCAGGCAAACACATCCCCTGCGACGCGCAGTTCTCTCACCGCGGGTCGGGCAGCCGCGCGGCGGCAATTTCTGTTTATTTGCGAAGCTGCCGATGGCGGCTGCGACCTCGAAGCCGACGCCCATGGCAAGTGCGCCGAGCTACGTTGCACCAGAGACAAGACCGAGGCGGGCGAGTCACAACTGCACGCCGTGTTTTCTTACGAGCATGCGAACGTGCGCGCGTGCGCTTTGGCGGAGATCAAGCGGGCTGGCTGTTGTCCTGAGGGGGGATGGCCCGCTCAGTAAGCAGGACGTCGTGAGTCATTCTAAGCAAGTATCAAGCGCTCTCTTGGCCGAATTTAACGTATGGCTCGAGACCCGATGCTTTGCCGAACGACTTGCGTCAAAAGCTTCATGTGACATGACCTCCCGGCGCGCGTATTTTTGGATAGTGCGAAGACCGATTCTGGCAGTATTGAAATAATCATCAGGCTTTGCTCGTTATTTTGAGGCTGCATGGGCCAGGGGATTTCTTTCGTAGAGACCTTCTCAATCACGGCCAATCGCACCTTGCAGCGCTTATTTGCCAGCGAGGCGGCATGTCATTAGGAGTGGGTTCTTGCCAGCCTGGGCGTGAACGGGGTCGTTCCTGAGGGTCTGATTTAGGATGAATTCGCTGAAGCAGCAAGGAAGGTGGCACGCGCTGCATGGTTTACACTACCTCCTGGAGGCGTGTGTGGCTTACGTGTGCGACTTGCGTTTGCATCTACGACGAGCCCCGCCATTGTCTCAAGTGTTCCATGCCTGTACCTGGCGCACAGGGGCGCCCCCCGCGCTCCTCCCCCCTCGAGCTCAAGGGAAAAACCGAGAGCATGGGTATCAAATCGACGCCTTGCTGTCCAGACGTTGAAGCTCCCCCAGGCCTGCTCACTGCCACGCCCGCAGCGTGGCTAAAGAGGCGCACGCCGACTCCTACGTGCACAAGGCAGAGCAAGTGTTGGGCAAGCGTAAGCTCGACGCGCCAACTCGCACCAATTGCGCAGTCATATACTCCAAGACAGAGAAGGGCGACGCGATCATGGATCATGACGACTACGCCGACACCCAATCGCACGCCCCGAGCTCGTCGGGGCATCACCAGATGCAACGGCCAGCAAGACTGTCAGCGATATGTTGGTCAGTCCTCGGGGTGCACTCGCCTGCTCCGCACTGGCCCACTTCCCACTTCTGGATTATGGTAAAAAATGCGCCACGGCAGCGCATTCAAGCGCCGGCAAGCCTCTGGACGAGACGCCTCAACTCTTTCACCCGCGAACTTTTACAAGACCCCGCGAAGATCGCCGACCGCGCGATGACGCCCGGCGGCAAGATTGAATCAAGCAGCTACTCGGTCTTCAGAGCTGACAAGAGAGGAGGACGACGAGACGAAAGACAACGGTCTTCGAGGGCGCGACTTGCTGCGTCGTGGAATCGCGAGCAGCGAGGACCTCGCCCATTGCATCAGCCCATGTAAGTCTCATCGCCCCCAAAGTCGGTCCAGCTACGCGGCTGAAGAACTTGCCGCGGAAAGCAGCGCGGATGAATGATCTCCTACGCGAGGGACACTACATGAGGTCGCGAAGGGTTTACGGACCCCCTCTTGGGCGCAAACATCTTCGCAAACAAGGTGGGCTTTGTATTGCGGTGCCCCTCGCGTGTGATGCCGAGTCCGCGCGCGGGTCTTTCTCCGGCAAGGGCCTGAAGACTCCCACGCGAAGGACTTTGCTGGGCCACATCAAGCGGCTTCAATAGTTGTAACCTGGGTTCATAAACGACGCGAAAAGGCACGACGCCCAGGATATGGCAGCAGATGGACACGCCAAGGGTTCGATCGACCGCGACCTACTCTTACAGGTCATGGGTGGGCATCAGAGTTACGCGTGCGAGGTCGAGTCGTCTGCGCCATATCGCGGCATCAATCCTATTGCCAACGCGCGAAGCCGCTGCTGTTACAAAGACGTGCAGGACCCTCGCGGTCTCGGCGGTTGCTGAGTCGCGGCCACCAGTTGCACGAGATGGGGGTCTTTTTCTGGCCCCACCCAGAGCCTTCGTGGAGTCGCGACTGTCCGGAGGGGGCGCGCGCCCGCGCCCCTTTCGCCTGACTTTTGTCGCGGGACCACAACTGTCTGGAAACGCGCGCACGCTCGCGATCTTCCTGCCTGCCTTCTTGCTGAGACCTACAATCCCTGCTCGGCTTCACCGCGGCGGTCTCGCGACGCTAACAATCATTCTGCCCGGCGCGGGATCAGCCCCATCGTTGCTTCTCAGGGCTTTCTGAGCTGCCTGCCGGCTGGCCTAGCATGAGCTGTATTTTCTCGGCGTCCGTCTGCCCTGTCGCACTTAGGCGCTAGGCTTACTGGTTCATGGAAACATGAACTAGTGCCTCGCACCATGTTTTTCAGCTGCTTCTTTGCAACTGTCCTAGCAGAGCTTGGCGTTTACCTAATATTTTGGCGACCGCCTCGAGCCAACGTAGGGCCTGCAGCGATCAGGCTTCATTCCCCCCTTCGACTTTGTTGGAATGTCACAGAAGGGTGGGGGGGATATGTTTGCCGATATCGCTGGCGTCCTGGCTCAAGGCGGCGTCGCCCTATGTGCCAATGTTGGCGACGCCGGTTGCACTCGATTCGCCCGTTGGGAGCGAGATGGGCCTTGCTTGTTGTTGCTTCCTATCGCGATCTCTCCGTCGCCGCTACCATGCCACAGTTGCGACCATGGTGTGGGATTTTAACTCGCTGCGGGAGACCTTCGGGGCTCGAGGAAAACTACTGGATGGAAACGAAAATCGTGCCCGAAGACATTTGCAGCCAGCGCCCTCCCAGCAGTGGACACGAGGCGCGACGGGCGGGCGGACAGCCGTCGCTGGCGATCGCTTGCCCCCGATTTCCGAGCTCCCCGAACATCAGATTCTGCACTCAGGATCCGGTGGCCATGCGCACGTTGGCGTTTGCACACGTTTTGCGGATCATTGGTTGGTTGCCCCCGCACGGTACATCCCCGAGTTGGGCCCCACATGTTTGGCCAGTCGGAAGTCACACATGGTGGGATGGATTGGGGTCGCCGCGGCCCCCCGCTGAGCCGCCAAGGAACTGGAGGACCCCAGCCAGACCGCCGTTGGGGCCGCTGCGGGCCAGCCGCCGGGGCTGCCCGACGAGGAGCGCGACCTGGTCGCCAAGGCGCCATTCGATCGGGGGGCGGCCTGGCCAACGTCGGCGGCGGTGGCGGCACCGACGGCGACGGTGGCGAGTTGTCGCAGGTTCTGCGGCGTTTTGCTTTTGGAAGCGTTCTCGCCACGGTGCGCGTTCCAGCAACTTCGCCTCTCCGGGGTTGCCCAGGGGGTGTCCGACTCGGCCCGAAAGGCCGCGCGAGGCCCGAGGGCCCTTTCCAGTGCCCATGTCCGTCATAGGATGGTTCGGACAGAAGACAGGTTTTTGTGAAAAGGTGCAGACTTCGACGTGGAAAATGACGACGCCGGAGGGAACGAACACCGAAGTATCCATACAGCTTCGAAGGCCAGGCGGGTTTCTGTGGTCGGCGTTTGTTTTCCCCTGGTAATTAGCGCTTGCAGCGCCGCCCCCTGGCGCGCTCCGCGCGCCATAGATGGGAGTTTAGTTCCGACGCACGAGATCAGCGCTTACCACCTCCGAAAGTTAGTGACATACACTTCTTGCAGTTCTGCCGCACTGGGGTCTGAGTAGTAGGTCGACCCTGCAAACTCAACCTTGCCCGCATTTTGCATGTCCTATTCCGGGCCGAGATCGAGGAAAAAACGCCAGTTTTGAAAGCAGCAGATCACGTTGTCGGACATCTGGGTCCCGACTGCAATGAGCCGTTCCTCATTCATATTATGGCAAGTTCATCGGCATGGCATTCAGTCTGTCCCCCCCTTTTGTCGCCTCTTTTGTTCGGTGGTGATTCAGAGATGCGTACAAGTCATCTTCGACTTGTGTGATCTCCAGCTTTCTTGTAAGGGCTGGCCGGAGAGCCCCCGTCCCTTCATGCAAGCAAATTCGACAGACTCGAACGAACACAGCATATTTTTACTTATCGCATCGTCGGAGACCTGGGGTCTCGACTTCTTCGAGGGGCCCACTCTTCGGCCGCAGGGGCGTGACTAGCGCGGCACCGCCACCGAGTGCTCCCAGAAAGGCGCGGGGGGCTCCTCCCGAGGAGGTCCTGCGGAGTGCGGTGCTGCGCGGACCTATTGCTACTCCACTCCAAATGCGCTGCTGGTTTCGCAATTGTCGGCATTTTGTGCAGATCCGGCAAACTACTCTCCTCCCTGAGCGTCGCCAGGTGCGCAACTATCGACATTTCCAGGACTTCCTCGGAGGTCCAGCGCCTCGTGGGGCACTTCGGGGACCTCTGGAGGCCTCTTGGGAGGGTCTTGGGGGCCTCAGGGGGCCTCTCTGGGGCCTCTCGGATGTCTCTTGGGGCCCTCTTGGGGGCTTTCTGTTGATGTGGGGGGCAATCTGTCGGGACAGGAAAGACGCCCTGGGACCGCCCAGGGTAGTTTACGTGTTCGGACCACCAGAGGAAGCCACTCGCGCGCGCGCGCGAATTTGGAAGTCATGATACCAGGCAGTTTAGCTCTGGCTAGTTGGGCTGGCGAATTCCTCACTCGCTCTCTCGTTTGCCCCTCTGCAAAGGCTCGTCGATGGTATCTCACATCGGTCCCATGGAGCGTTGAGCACAGCGGCTTCCTGTATAACTACCACACTGGATTGCGACCATGTTTTGCATCATCAATTATTTTGGATGCGTTCCGTTGATCTCACAATGCATTGCAGATGTGTGGGGATGCTAATCATACTCCTCTCCCCGCCACCGTGCGTTCTCCGCAGCACCTTCGAGGCCACCAATCAAGCGCTGTCTTGACCAGGGGCTCGCGGGCAGCGTGCCAGTGGTCAGTCAGGTGGCCAGGAAGGGGGAGGGAGGAGTTGCAGGACGAGGAGGCGGAGGAGGCGGAGTATGGAGGAATAAGGAGGCGGAAGGGGTTTCGTAGACGGGCGAGGGCAGGAGCAGGTTTGAGTAGGAGTGGCGGCCTCATCGGTTAAAGAGCGTCGCCTGGCTCTGGTCGCCGTGGGCTGAGGTGTTGCAGAAGCATTTCTTGTTCGCCAACTTGCAGTCCGCAGAGCTGAGCGTGCTCGTCGATCAGGAAAGCAGCTTTCACCGTTGTTATTTTGAACAGCTTACGCTGGTTAACACTTCGGCTGTCGAAGCCACGATCCGAATCGATAAGGTGTGCGCTCGTTGTACAACAGGGTCACTTGATCAGCTTGCAATACGGCTTCCAGATGCTGCGTTTGGAGAAAGCCATGGGCGACATCATCTGCATCAAAGGTGAGAAGGGCGACGCTTGTTACGTAGTGGCCACAGCATAAGCATCGGAACGTGAACACGATGCGACCACCCCATTGGGATACAGAATCGAGTTTGACAACGATCCGAATAAGTTAAGTTGCTCGAAGAGCAGTCAGGCAAACGCCACGTGAGGAATTTAGAGCCTCGGGGAGCCTCAGGCAGCTGGGTCGCGGCCCAGAAAAACCCTCCCAAATCTTGTCGACAAATGTAAAACGATACATGTTATTTAATCGCTTCGCTCATTCCGCCGGCCCTGGAGCCCTCTTTATGGCCTCTCGACCTCTTGGGAGTCTCTTGGGGCTCTTTGGCGGCGTCTTGGGGGCCCCCAGGGCCTCTTGGGGGGCTCTTGGGGGCCTCTTGGGGCAGGAGGGGGGGTAGTCGATTGCGGGCCCCCCCCCTCTCGGAGGCCACGATCCTCGTGAGAAGTGTCGAAACATTGCCCGGTGCGGCATCTCTGACCCGACCCTGCCGGGACCCTCCCGGGACTTGCCCGGGGTACTTTTCGCCCGGGGACCCCCAGGGTCCGCCCCGCGCGCGCGAACTTGAAATATTGTAAACCAGTTGTTGGAGATCTTAGCACGCCTCTGGCCCGTGGGGCCGGCGAATTCAGATTTTAACCCTGCGGACCATTACGGGCCTGAGCGCCCCAACCTGCGAGACAGAGTACGGAGGCGGACTTCCAGTCAGATGGGCTTGGGCAGGGCAGGGCAGGGCAGAGGAAAACGGGTAAGGAGGGGAAGGTCATGGGAGGGAAGGGAAAAGGAAAGGGGCAGGAGGTGGGAGTGGAAGGGGGAAGGGGGGGGAATGCGGCGACATCGGGCCAAGAGGACTACGCACATGCACCGATCTCGGCCAGGGCCCACCCCGGGCGCCGGGTCGGTGCACCTAAGTATGCCTGCCTGGCCAAGCCATGCACGAGAATGCGCCGGCCTGACTGCGCCGGCTGACTGGCGTGACTGAGCCACAAGTATGCCTGCCTGACTGCGCCGGGTCGGTGGCACGTGCACCGATCCTCTGCCACAGACTGGGCCGGGCCGGGCCGGGATTGGTGCACCTGCACAGCTCTCCTTCCTGGGAGCGGGGCGGCCCCAGCCGCTCTGGAGCCTCGGCCGCGCCCCTGCCGCCAGGGCCCGCACCGGGCCGTGAGGGCCCAGACGGGCCCCAAAGCCGACGATGAGCCGCGGGCGCTTGGGGCGCCGCGCGGGGGCAGGCCTCCGCGTTGTGAGCCGCTCGCGCCTGGCATCCCGGACAGGGCGGCGGGGGGGGAGGGGAGAGGGGGGGTGTCTGGACTGCGAAGCTGATTCGGTGCAGGGGCCTGTCAGTGCCCCAAGTGGGGGATCGGAGGATCGCGCCGCATCGCCGATGCATCGGCGAATCATCGGACCCTATCTACTCAGTCTCCATTTGGGAGGCCTCCAGTCAGACGGCCAGTGGCGCTCGACCGGCTGGTGATGCAAGACTGCTCGGGTGAGCAGGCGCAGCAGAAATCGAGCATTGGCGCCAAGGCAGTGAAAACAGTGGGAATCGGTACGGGGCGCGGGAGTCGTGATAGGACGATAAAAAAAGGGAGGGGGAGGAGGAGGAGGGAGGAGCGAGGGAAGGAGGTCGCAGAAGGGGGTTGGCACACTGCGTGGTCAGGGGGGTGGATCCAGCTTGAGGCTGATTCTACCCTCCTCCAGGGGCCGTCCAGAGCAATGCGCCTCTTAACCCCAGCTCTGGTCATGCGAGGAGGGAGGGAGGGGAAGATGGAAGTGGACCGAGAGGGGATTTGTAGCACCTGTGGTCTGGTCAGTCTTTTGCTCCAACCTCCCACTCCTCACCCTTCCCTCTGCCCCCCCCTCCGAGTCCTCCTTCTCGTCCTCCCCCTCCCCCCTTTGCCCAGGCGTCTCCCCTATTGAGATTCCCCGCTCCTCACCACGACCCAGAGCGGCGTGATCGCAGACCGGGCCGCCCTCTCGGCATTTGCACTGGCGGCGACCGGGGCCCGTCGACCATCCACGCCGCCCCTTACCGCTCTCATCCTCGCCCCGTTCGTGTTTCCTCCCAAGACCCCGTCTCCCCATCCCCCGTCCCTCCCCTCGCAGGCGACTTCTCGCCTTTGATTCCCGAGTTTCCCTCGAAATAGCTGGACGTTTTGTGAACACAACAGGAAGCGGGGGCACCCCTACTGAGCACGGACGCCCCCATCATATCTCATCGAGTTGAGCCCAAAATGATTTGGCCCATCAAACGTCCCAATAAGTTCGGGATGGGGGGTCGCCAAAACTCTTGTCAGTTCCCCTTTCCCCCTTTCCCATCCCTCCTCCCTGCGCGGTGAACGACCGTGGGGGCAGCAGAGAGCGTTACCCGAGGTCATCCTCAGCGGAGTCTGCACGGTTCGGAGGGACGCCGAGGAGCCGAGGAGAAGCCAAATCCACCAGGATGACGAGGTTCGCTCACCCTTCTGGGGAACGGTGAGGTGACGGGGCGATGAGAGCGAAGAGGCCCTAGGCCCACAGGAAGAGTTCTCCAAGGACGTATGCTGCACGGGAGGTTCTAGAGGTCCTGCGATTTTTCTCCTCAGCATTGCCTTACCCAAAATTCGTGACGTTTCGTATATCCCCACCAGCCGGCCCACAACGCTGACCTCCCTGTCTGTCTTAGCTCTGCCCACACACTTCGCCACTCTTAGTCGCGCCCACCTCCCTTGCCCCCGCACTCACAGCTTAACGTCTACTGCGACTGTCAGTCGCTTCCCTCCGCCTCCCTTACCCAGCATTGCGACCGTTCGTCGCTGTCTCGCACTCCCCCAGCCGCGGCCACGCCTTGCGGCCGCCCCGGCCTCGTGCCTAATACCGCCCCACGAGCGCACTTTGGAGGAGCCGGCCCTCCCCTGGTCCCCCAGCTCGCTCTCGCTCGGGCCACTTGCGACGCTGCGCCCCTTGGCGCCGGGCCGCCCCCCCTGCGCCCGCCCCCGCGCCGCAGCGGGGTCCCTCAGCCCCCTCCGTCGTCTCTCGCTACGAGACCACCGAGCAGGCTGGGGCTTGGCTGCTAACGCTGCGCGCGCCGCCTCCGCCTGCCGCGTCGCTCGTCGTCGCAGCAACCACGGTTCTTGCCACGCAACTGCCAGCAGCGGCACCGCTGCCGCCGCCCCCCATTGGGTGACGACGATGGTCGGGGTCGTCGCGGTCGGTGCGAGGCCGCAGGGAACCCCCCTCGGCCCGTCACACTCGGGCCAACGTTCTCGGCGAGTCCGTTCGCTTTCTGTAGATAGGCTCCGCAGGTGGGACACTTCCGAACTGCGTCGGCCTGTCACTGTCTTCCCCCGCCGCCCCAGCCTTGCGCATGAGGTCGCTGGGACCCCCCCCCGACCCTGGACGCTGGGCTGCAGGCCTTCTCTCCTCGCGGCCACCCTAGGCGCCCCTGAGGCTCGCCTGCTAGCCCCTTCCAGTTCGGGGTGCGCCTGGGCTCCCGGGCCTGCGGCTCGCCTTGAGTCCGCTGCCTCTGCTCGCACGGGGTTGACGGACTCCCGGTCCTCCCCCACGTCGCCTCCCTTTGGGTCGGCTATGGTCGCTATGGTCCCTTGCTTTGGCTCTCGCCGCCTCCAGCGCAGGGCTGCGACCTTCTTCCGCTGGTTCCCGCCTCTGCTGCTCATGCGCCGCCCTGGCGATGGCTTCTCCCTGTCCCCCCGGGGGGTGGCGCTCCTGCTGATTCCACGCCCCTGCTCCGACCCTTGTCGGTGCTTGGCGATCCGGAACCTTTCCGTTGAGTGCCTGCATGCCCTGTTCGTCATTCTCTTCGGCTGCGTCACGGCGAACTTCGAGTACGTCGGCTTCTTGCTCTTCGCCATTTTGGCGCTGCACGTCGACCGGTGGCCCTTCCTGGTCCTCCGCGTTTCCTGAGCCGCAGCGTAGCCCGCTCCTGTGCGCCCTGGTGCTGAATTTAGGCCGTTGCTCTTTAGCCGCGTTTCTGGACGGCGCTTCGGCGCGGCCAGCCCTAGCTTTGCCCAGCTTTCGACCTGCTTCGCGAGCCCGCATTCCCAAAAGTATCCCCACCAGCCAATCCAGAAACAAATCGCCAGGCGAGTTGCTTTCACCAGGGAAGAGTATAAGCATGCAGCGTAATTGCCGCCTTGGAAGTGTTTTTTCTCGGATGTCTCCTGGAGCCATCTTGGGTCTCTCTTGGGGTCCTCGTGGGGCCACTTCAGGTACTCGCGAGGCACTCTTCGGGCTCTTTCGAGTGATCCAGGGGCCCTCTTGGGGCTTTTTGGGCTGGTCTGGGAGGCCTCTCGGGGCAATTTTCGGCTCACTGTTCATATAGAGGGGAGGGCGTACATCCAGGCCTCCCCCTCGGAGGCTGGGGCCGTCTTGGGACGCTCTTGGGGTGCTTTGGGGAACTTTTGCGGCCGTCTTGGGGCCCTCCCGGTGTTGTCCCTCTTGGGACTCGTTTGGGCCATCTTGCTACCATTTTGAGGCCTCCGGGGCCCATTGGAAACGACGAGGCGAGACGGCGCAACTCTTCAACGCTCCTCAAGTTTTAGAACCAGTGCTGCTTCTTGGGTCGAGGGTCCTTGGAGGGCTCGGGGGGCACTTGGAGCTGTCCTGGGGCCGTATTGAGGCTTCTTGGATGTGCGACGGAGGCTATCTTGACCCACCCTTAGTTATCTTGAGCCATTTCGGAGGCCACCTTAAGTTTTTTTGAGCCCGTCCTGGAGCCATCTCAGATTGGGGGTTCTAACGCTTCGCGCCACCCTCTTCCTTCCCAGGCCCAGGGGGGGGCATGGGGGGGAGGGGCCACGTTACCCACCCTCCCGCAAGCCGTCTAGCTCATTCCCACCCGCCCTCCCAACACATAAGTAACACCCGAGCCTGAGCCTGTTCAGAGGTCGTTTTTGGAGCGGCAGCTACTGGGAACCAAGGCCGAGCCCAGGTGCGCGACGTTTCGGCGAAGTGCGCCACGCGTGCCAGGGGCGCCACACGCTCTAGGCACCCGTGGGGCCCGAGCATGCCAGGCACCCCTGGTGCGCCAGATGCGCCACGTGCTCCGAGTGCGATGGGTGTGCCGCACACTCCAGCCGGGCCAGGCGCGCCACGTTTGGGGCACGTGCAGAGTCCGTCAGGTACGCCCGCGCCCTCGACAGCACACATCGGGAAACATGTCGGCCCCCGCCATCCTTGTCGAAAGCCGATGCCCATCATTGTGTCTGGTTGGCCTGCGCACAACAGGCCACGCGCCCCCCCCCCCACCGTCCTTGTCAAAAACTACTTGACAGTGGTCGTGGGATGGCCGCGCATGTCCAGATTTAGCCGCGAGGTGCATGTTGTATTGTTTTTGCGTGAGGAATAATAGCCCTGCGCGCAGCAGGGGATCAGCTGGCACCCCCGCCGTCCCTGACAAAAACAATACGAAAAGCTCGCGGGCCTCACGAACATGGCTCAAGACTTTGCCCACAAGTGTACTTTGCATCGTTTTTTGGCAGGCATAGCGAGGGGGGCACCGGGATGGCCGCGCATGCTCCAAATGTGGAGGCAGAGTGCGGTTTGTATCGTTTTGTGACACGGATGTTGGGGGCGGGCCCGCTTGGAGTCGGCATGGTTCCGATTTGGCCGCCGGCCGGGCTGGGAAAGGGGTGTATATTGATAAGGAACAGTGATAGACCCCCAGGGAAGGAGGGATTTGGGGCAGAGATCAGACAAATCTCGTACAATTCGTTAAGCAACCTACGTCCAGAGGGTAGCTGGGATTCGCTCTCCTAGGGCCTCAGGGGGAGAGGAAGACGAGGAGCAGGATCCGTCTCGATTCGATCGATCCGAATCGACAACGGTTCCAGCCAGCCACATCCGATTCGAGTCCGATTTCCTGGCTGTCCGATGCGGCCCGATGGTTACATGGCATGGCGCTATTGTGCATCATGGCGCTGCCGATCCGATTCGATTCCGACTCCTTGCTGATGCGCTCCGATTCCAGACAGGTTCCGATTCGATCCGACTTCCGATTCGATGTTCGTCCGATTCTGCCGAATACGCAGGTCTTCATCAGCGTATACATGCGGAGAGCCGCGTGGATTTCTTAGCACGGCACTGGGCTCCTGGGGGCGCCTCTGGCGCCGCTCTTTGGCGCGCTCCGCGCGCCGGATGAGGTGGGTCCAGTGCCGATCCCGGAAATCCACGCGGACCTCTGAAAGTTTATGTTTCTGCAGGTGTTTCATATCTTGTGCCTCTCGTTGGTCGAGCTGATCAGAAGAAATCTCTGCATCCCTGGGGCTCCGATCCAACCCGATACACCGATTCGATACTGACCGATCCTGCCCTTCAAGAAGTGCGATGCCAGGACGGACCCCTCCTGGGGTCCATCCTGGCAAGTTCCTCGATCCGCACACGGCCCTGGCGACGAGAGCCTACAGAAATGTTCAACACCCTCCGCAAAGACGACGTCGTCACGTTCCGCTGTGGTATCCCGATTCTTTGCCGATTGACCTCGACCTAGTCATCCAGCGAAATGATTGGTTCAATGTGCGGCCCGAGAGATGCGACCCCTTGCGCAGGGCCAGCGTTTCGCCCCAGATCCGTTTCTGATGGCCGCGGGCCCGAGAACGGCCCCAGCGGCCGAGATCGAGCACAAACTCAGTGGGATCGGGCGATCTCGGTCTCGGCCCGAGATCGGGCCCAGACCAAGACCGAGATTGAGATCGAGACTGAAAAAGTCGCACTGACGGAGATCTGGGGAGGAATCTCTGGAGCAGCCGCCTCGCTTCCACGCCTCCTCGAGCTTCGACCCCTCGACAGCGGCGACGCCGGACCTCGACCACAACGGCGGCGGTGGTGCGGCGGCCTGGTTTCCCACGTGGCGGCCTCCATTCCTGCTTGATAGGATTGGCCCCGACGTGCACCACGCTATCTCCCGCCGCAAGGGTCAGGGGCAACGTTAGTGGGGGATAGGCTCAGGGATGGTTGTGTCAGCCCCCAATCGCCCATTCATCGACGATAGGGGCTCGATAGCCCGCCTCGCCTCGCCCAGGAGCGTGCGGATGTGCTATCGGGGGCCCATCACCGATCTATCGGCGATGTATGGCCGATTCCAGATCGATGTGTTTCCGAATTGAGCCAGTCATCACCTCACGTTCCCCCTCAAAGGGGTGCCCCCCGGCAATGCTCGTCCCTTGGGCTTCTGGCTGCCCCTTGGCAGGAGCTGTGTCAGCTGTCGGCCGGGCAGACGTTCGGGGAGCTGGCCATGCTCTACGACGTGCCGCGGGCCACGCTCCCCCCCCCCTTCGCCCCTTCCCGTACGAAAAGACGAACCATAACGGATCGCCATCGCGTCCTCATCAGGACACGCCTTTGCAATAACGGTGTTATTTCGGCGTATTGGTAGCTAAACCGATGTGGGGCGTGCCGATATCACACACCAATCGGTGAGCCAGCATAGCGCCAAGTACACCACACCGCATCCACCGACAATGCAGGAGAACAGCGTGAGGAGGAGGCGACGGACGAGGAGGTCGGCGGTGGCGGGAGGTCTGAAAAGAAGCAAACACCGATATCGATTGCCCCGAAGTCCCCGTCAGAACGCAGCCTTGGAGAGGTTCTGTGACCGGGTGGCTGTGTGTCGAGGGGTGGTAGTAGGGAGAACCGCTAGTTTCAATGGCATACGGCTCGCTAAGTGAGAGATGGCCTTTTCATTGGTCCGCTCGCCTCTGTCCCATCCCAGTTTTTGTTCGATACTTCGTATTATTCTTATCCTTCGTCTTGTTATTCTCCGTCGTCTTCAAATCCCCTTCACACTTCAGTCGGCGCAGCGTGAGACCTGAGTTTGCCAGAACTTGGGGATGCTGCCACTTTTAGTTGACGGTTCGGGCGTCAATTCTCACGGTCCAGTTTGCGAGAAACGTTTGCATCGGGAGGTCGCGTCGAATTGTGGCTGGGTCCCACATTTTTTCAGGCGGCCCCGTGAGGCGAATTGGAGCCCCCAACTCGAGCCCTGCATCTCCCCGACACGAGCAGGAGAGCCAACGGAAGAGGCGGGAGCGAGAGGGGGGGAGGCAGGGAGAGAGCAGCTCCCCTGCTCGTCCACGTCGCCCCTGAGCAGGGGCAACGCCGGGGGAGTACAGGCCCAGGGGGAAGGGGGGGGAGCGCATCGGCCCCCCGTTTTGGCCACTCTATCGCCGATCGGGCCCGATAGCCAACATTAACCAGGAACGCGCGGATTTGCCATCGGGGGCCTATCGCCGACATATCGGCGATGCAGCCCCGATTCCAGCTACGTGCTTCCCCCCCTGAGCCAGTCAACCCCCCTCAGCCCTCCCCATTCCCCCCCGGCCCGCAGGCTGCCACGATCGAGTGTGCCTCACCGCGGGTGCTCCTGACGATGATAAGGGGCCCTAGCTTCCGCCGCTGCCTGGCCCGCTTCAAGGCTCGCCCGCCGGGGGGGGAGTGCTGAACGCCTTCTTCGCGCCTCGCCCTCGAAGAAGAACAAATTCAAGGCGGGGACGTGTCTATAACCACCGCATGGGGGGTCGGTCTTCGAGTACCTCGGCAGGCGGTGGAAATGGCTATATTTGTGGCCCCCCAGGGCCGCGAATACATCCATGTACACAACCTGCCGAGGTCCCACCATGCGGTGGTGATGGAAACGGCGCAGACATAGACTCGCCGTGGTCCTCGCGCCCGCTGATGGCGCCTCTGGAGCTGTCCCTGGCGCGCTCCGTGCGCAAGGGAGAGTGGTCCAGAGTGCCATCTTTTGTTCCCCTGCCGTCGTCCCTTGGCCTCCTCGGCCTCCTCGTCCGGGCCCCCTCTCCGCGCTCCCGCCTCCCCGTTCTCCCGAGCGTACTGTGCCTCTGCAGTGGGATCGCCCATCGCCGGATCGCCCGGGTTGGCTCTTCCCCGCCACAAGTAGCGGCGCTTCCGAGGCCGCCCCTGGCGCGCTGCGCGCGCCATCGAGGGAGTGTCAGCGTTGTCCGAGTAAACCGCCCGGAGATCCCAAAGTTCACGTTTGGGTGGTCTGTGGCCCGCCCAGTCGAAACGATTAGGGCCCCTTTCAAGCCGAGGTCATGATGTCGGCCAGCCCCGTCTGATCGGATTCCGATGTTCCCAGCATCTGACGCGGTCCGATACTTGCATGGCGCCGTTGTGCGCGGCCGACCCTTGTTTATATATATATAGATAGATATATATATATATATAGGGCCACCAAAGAATGTTGTAAGGACCGTATGTGGTTTGCACGACGTGTTCCTAGAGCATTTATGGTTGAGACCGTTTTGTTTTGATGCATCTGCCTACCTGGCATATGATCATTGTTCTCGCTCTCAGAGCAGCCGCTTGTTTTAAGAACATCTCGTGGTAGGCTCATGATAGTGCCCGGACGGTCGGTCCCAGGTAAAGACACAGCGCGACCCGACGCACGTTCCGACCCCATGCGGTTTATCGATATGATTATTGTGGTCGAGTGTTTGTTATGTTCTTTTGTTCGATCAGCGACTTAGACGGCGTGCCCTCCGCCCCCCACTACTGGGTCTTCTCAAGCATTTGGTTCTTGGTAGATTTCCAGAGCAGCCTTAGATTCAAGCTTTGCGCCCGCGAGATGCAATTGTCCAGTCTGCAGGCACGCACACCACAGTCAATGTGCTTCTACGCGCGAGCGCCAGGGGCCGGGCATAGGACCTTACGGCCATGTTGTACAGGGTGCCTGCGCCAAAGCACAGTCTTATTGGTGCGCATGCATGCAGTCAGTAGTTCTTTGTATTTCGACGCGTGCGCTAGAGACGAGTCTCGTGTGTACAGGTCAAATGCAAACACACATGTGTTGAACACATCATCACAGCATGCTCCAGCGATACGTTCTGCGGCAGCCTGTTTCCTTGACCGAGGTGCTTACTGGTTTTCGAATGTCTCTGTAACGTTGCGAGCACGGTGGCGGCCTGTTTGATCTGTTATTTGATGTCGGGACCCTGAGATGCGTTCTCTGTCGTTGGAGGTGGGCCAGTTGAGGCAACGGCGGCCCTGGACGTCCCGAGTTGAGACAACCGGACCTGCAAGCTTGTCGTTTTTCGTTCCCCAGAGCCTCTAAAGAGAGCCAGGATGGATCCCAGGTGTATGAGTGCCCGTTTGTGGCAGATCTTGGTTGGGCGCGAGAACCGCCCTTGTCTCGATTTGCCCTCCGATTTGGGCTCGCCATCGTCGTTTGCCACTTGTCTTAACTTTGCACTTGGCTTGAAAAATACCCTTCGCCAACATGGTTGGGGCTCTGCAGAGGAGCGGACGAAGAACGAGACGCTGGGCTTTCTGAATGGACACTCGGTCTTCTCCAAGCTGATGCCTCAGGATAGGCGGATGGGCCCCGTCGAAGCAGAGCAGGGGTAGAGCCAGGCCAATCAGAGCAGCTCCTGGGGCCCGTCCAGGCACGCTCGCGGGGAAGTCTCGCATGGGATCCGTCCAGGAAACGCTCGGCGCCACAGCTCAAGCCGCTCGAGAGGCCCGCAGGCCCCCACCCAGGACCGTTCATTTCGATCTGATTGATTCGATTCGATATCGGCTCCAGCCGGCTCGATTCCATTCGGTCCTAGTCTTCCATCTATCCGATGCGGCCCGATGCTCGCATGGCGCTGTCGCGTATCCTGGCGTGGCCGATCCGATTCGATTTCGGCTCTGTGCCGATGCGGCCCGATTCGATTCGACGAACGATACCATACGATCTGATTTGCCGATTCGATGCTGACCGCGCTTGTCAGCTGCAGACATCGATGCCCTTAATCTCGTACCCCTCATGTTGTCACCGTCATCCTATATGACCTTGACACACACACACACACCTTTTGCCCCGTCCGATGGGTTTGCGGTGCTACGGCGCAGGCTGCCCCACAGGCCCGCAGGTTCCCGCCCATGAACGTGCACGACCCCCCCCCTGGCAGGGCCCACTTCGATCCGATTCGACGTCCACCCCGGCCGACCCAATCTGATTCGATGCCGATGTTCCGACGATTCGGTGCGGTCCCCCCTGGAGTTGGTTGTCAGGCCGGGTCCAGGACGAGGATACATTGTCCAGGCGCTCCGGAACGCGGAACGGTGGCGGCGCTCGACACATCCTCCAGACCCGCGCACTCTCAGTGATGCCGGATTTACCTTCATATATGGCACATCCGAATGTGTTCTCATTTCGTTTTCGTCTCAACGATCCGCTGCGGCCCGATGCTCGCATGACGTTGCGAGTGCGTCCTGGCGCGGCCGACTCGACTCCGGCTCCGTGCCGATGCAGCCCGATCCGACGCGCGTTCCGATCCCAGCCGAGTTTACGATTCCATGCTGGCTGGTCCTGGGCCCCTTGAGCTCCTTGGCGCCGCACGGCGTGCCTCCGGAGGAGGTCGTCCACGACGGTGGCCAGCCCCTTCCCCCCTCTGGGCTCCGGTTGGACCGTCGGCGGCTGGCCCGCGGCAGCGTCTTTCCTGGTCTGGAAGAAGAATTACCCCAGCAAAGCACCCTGATAGGAGCAACGGTGAAAAGGCGGGCCGAGGAGCAGGCGAAGCACAGCCGGGGAGCCCCGAGAAAGAAAGTGAGAGCACGGCCATGTGTCCTCGAGTGTATTTGTTCGAGGGGGCGTGGCCGTCCACACCAAACATGTAGCCGGCACTGAGGCGAGAGCGCGACCCTCGAATCGATTGTGGGGGCGTCTTAGGCGACACGGCTGCCAGACCAGGCGATCGAGGGGGGGCGGTCTCGGGCGCCCCGTGCCCCCATGTGGGACTCTGCTGTGGTCCTGGTCCTCCCGCTCTCCCTGTCTGGTCAGGTTTAGAAGCCGTGCCATGAGGCGGCACATCGGCGGCAGGGTGAGCAGGCAGAGTGAGAGAGCATCTTGTCGAACGGCGTTCCACGTGTTGAATCAGCCACTGATTGTGCCCAGCGCGGTGGGCAGACGATTTGCGCCTCCTCCCACGGCCCTGAACGCATGCATTCTGGTTCTGTGCCCCCGAGAGACTCTCGGACGCCATCGCGTTCGCACGCCGCCTGGCCGTGCCAGTTGCGTTGATGACGGTAAGGGAATTCATCTGCAAACAATGTTGGCGTCTGGCATGAGTGCGACTTTGCGAGAACGGCACAATTGCTTTGCAATCAGCTGGTCTAATAGCGGGCGCGCCGAGGTAGTGTCCGTTACACTTTTCGTAGGACATACTCGAATCATGGAGTGCGGTATTCCCCAGATTTCCCTCAAGCAAGAAATCTGGAAGGACTCCATCCAAAAATGTTCAGCTTAGTGTAACCGTTTTTTAGGCTGTATACTAGTCTGAAGACGACGCACGACTCGTCCATCCTCTGCTTCCTACTTCTGCTGAGAGTATAATGTCTCCAGACTGTTTTCAGAATTGTGAACGTCCCCCTCGTCTCGGGGTCTCCGGGATATCGCGCATCTGTCGGAATTGTTGGTTGTCAGCAGGCCGCCGAGGTACACGTGCTGCTCCGCTCCACGAATTGGTTGGCCGCTCGGATCCAGAGTTGGCGGCGGGCTGCCGATGCGCAGGACGACGGTCTTGTCCCATTTGAGAAGCAGACCGTACGGAGCAGCTCGGGTCAGCAGGCTGTTCAACGCTGCCTGTAGACAGGCGAATGAAGCACACATCAAGGCGGCATCGTCAACGTCGTCTGGTTGCAGACATCTCTATCGCAACTCACACCTGCCATGATGACGGCCAGCACAATGATGAATACATATGGGGATAATGGGCAAACTTGGGCAAGGCTGGTCGCCTGCTGGCGGGCGCCGGATTCTGTGCCAGCCTCTCGCATTATGTGAACAATATACATCTTTAGACATGTTGCTAAAAGCTTCAGGAGGACCATACGCAGAGCCAGTTGTATCGTTCCTGGATCGATGCTGTCGGAAGCCTTCGACCGATCCAGTAGCAATACGGACAGCTCGCCTCTCTGAGGTCCAGCGCTGCGTCCATGCTGCGCTGCAAGGCGGAAATTGCCAGGTCCGCGCCCCTGCCAGGGTGAAAGCCAAACTGATTGTCTCGGAAACGCTACCAGGGAAACAGAGCATTGAGCATGACTTAGTCGGAGGTTCTCGTGGACTTCTTGCATCTGCGCTGGGCTCACCTGGCGCGCGCAGCCGTCAGGGGGGTCAGTGCGGATCCAAGCAATGTGCGCAGAACTCACCACCTGGCACAGCGCGCCTCCAGAGTGCGTCAGTGGCGGCGTCGGAGGTGGCGCCGATGTGGTTCAGCACCGATCCAGGAAGTCCGCGCGGACCTCCGAAAGGTTATATTTGTGTGTTCCTTCTTTTTCTCTCCTCATCCTCCCCTCGTTTCCGGTGTCTCGTAGTTTCACACAATGTCCCATCGTAGATCCAAGAATTACGCACGGACCTCCACCAGTTTATGTTTCATGTCCTGCGGGCTGGCCGCCGACGGTCCAACCAGGAGCAATCGAGAGGCGGGTCCGCGTATCCCATGCCAGCCTCAGACCTGACTTTGGCCGTGTCGCCGTTGCCTGGGGATGGCTGGAGGCGGATGTCGGGATGCTTAGATTCGACTCAAGTCGACGGACGTTCGACGCAGCATCTACGCATGAGTGAGGCGAGTGGTTCTAGGAAGGTTCCCAGACAGAGCATCCAACATAGATGTTGGGATGGGAGGCGCGGGACGAGTAGGGGAGGGACGTGGGACAAGGGCAGGGGCACAGGGGGGAGGGACGCTGGGAGCCCGGATTCCGAGGAGAAGCGCGTCTTCGCGGACGCCCTCAGTCCACAGGCTTTCGAGGCGGGTTCGGCCCTTATCGACGAGACGGTCAGCAGTTCCGCCGACTGGATGTTCCTCTTGCAGGAGCGGGAGCAACTGCTGGCCCAGTCCCCCTCGCTCCAGCACCATCCTCCCCCCCCACCTCCTTCACCATCCCCCTTCCCCTCCCTTCCCCTTCCTCCACATTTGCTGATAATTCTTCTTGCTATGGTAGTTCGGGCTTCTCACGTTCTTACCATCCCCACCCACCATCCCGAAGGAGGGTACCGTCGAGATCACCGACCAGTACCGCAACAGGACACGACGATCAGTGAGGATGGGGGGAGGAGGGGGGATGCGCAAGGACGGGGATGGAAGTGTGAAGAAGCCGTTCAGTCCAACAATATCATTCTGCGTAATCAGTGCCGCTCGATTCAGCCACCGCGCCTTGGCGGCCGCCTGGGGGGGGAGGCCTCCTTTGGGCCTCTTGGGGTCCTCCCCAGTCTCTTGGGGACCTCCTGGGCCATCTTGGGGCGCTCTTGGCCCATCTGTCGCTTTTGGAGGCGGGCTCGGAAATCTCTTTGGGCCGTGTTGAGGCCTTGGTTTGCTTTGGCGCCGCCGTGCAGATCTCTTCAACTGTTTTGGGGCAGTCTTGGGGTCCTCATGGGCAACAATGGGGCCATCTCGTGCCGTCTTGAGGCCCTCTTGGAGGCCTCTTGGGACGTCTTAGGGTTATCATGGAGGCCTCTTGGGCAGTCTTAGGGGTTCGGGAGCTCACTTTTCTTTCAAACCGCAATGACATCCTACTGGAGGTCCTCTTGGAGTCCTCTGTTGGCGTCTTGATCCATCTTAGGGCCGTCGTTGCTGTATTGGAGACCATATTTGGCCGTCGCGAAGGCCCTATGGGGCCATCTTGTCCGACTCGGAGGCCTTTTGGGCCGTCTCGGAGGCCATCTGTGGCCAATTTTTGGCGGGGGGAGTCTGGAGCGCCCTGGGCGTGCCGGTGAGATCGGGGAAGAGCGGAGGATCGGATCCTTTTGATGGTGCCCCAGCGGGCACCGGGCAGCCCTGCCCCAGAGCACATAAAGCCAGCACCTCTCGGCCGGCGCCCGCAGGACGGTCCTGGGAGAGGGCGCGACCATCAGCGGCCAGCGGCTGCCCTACGGCCACAAGGCCAGCGGCGGTGCACGGCCATCGTTCTTGGGGGGAGGGCGCAGGAGGCCGCCATGATGAAGCAAACGGGTCCTGAGGGAGACGGATCATGACAAACTGTGTCACCGTTTCTGGGCTCTCGGTTCCTTCCGCGATCCCCGAGACTGCCAGAAAACGTTGCAGGTCCTAGGGGAGGTGTCGCTCAGGACCCGTTTCCTTAATGGCAAAGGAGCGCGACGCGCCTGGGGAAGGCGAGGAAGAAGCAATGATGGGGTTGTCGTTAGAGCCAGGCGGTTCAATACACCAGAGGCGAGTTGGGGCGGTTGTTGTGGCAATGCGCAGTGCTCGCGGTTAGTGTGAAGTGTTCCTACTATGGTTATTGTTGATGAGCCAAAACGTGAGAGACGAGCTGGGGTCTAGATCGCCAGGCCACATGCCGGCCGTGGAAAAACGCCAGGCGCGACTCCAGGCGCAACTTCGGCCGACATCTTGTCACCAGGTCGTCCAGAGGGGGTGGGCCACTGAGGGGAGAAGAAGACAAGACAAGACAAGACAGGACAGGACAAGACAAGACAAGACAAGACAAGACAAGACAGGACAGGACAAGACAAGACACGACAGTACAAGGCGTCTCATTGGAGCTCCAGGTCAGGATCGGTGTGAAATCGACGAGACCGTCGCGCTGCGCATGCAGCTTGACCTCACTGGCAACACACGTGGCCGGTCGGGAGCTACCTGCGCTGCCCCACATCAGGCGGCCCCCCGAGGAAGGCGCGCAGCCAGACGGCCAGCCCGGCTCAGGGGACCAGCATCAGCTCTCCGCCACACCTTGTCGGACAAACCTTCTGTGCCGCCCAGCGGCCCTCTCAGCCCATGGTTCTGAGGATGGTGGAGGAGGAGGAGTGGAATGAGTCGGGGTTCTCCAGCGGGCCACACAGCATGGGGGCGTCACGCCTCCCTGCCCGGAGGACAGGCTCAACAGCTGACAGAAGACTCGCGGGGTTCGTTCAATGCGGCGAAGGGCGTGGCGACACACGCTCCCGCACTCAGTGGGTTCCTCTGTAATCGGCAATCCAGTGGCCGTTAGCCACTTCCTGGTAGCGCTTCCTGCCCAGCTCCCGCTGTCCCCCGCCCTTGGATTTCTGGCAGCGGCCAGCTGGCACTACTGGCACGTGGACTGCCGCTGGGGCCGGGGTCCACCTATCCCCTTTGGCCCCGGGCCTTCCAGCGTTGCGGGTCCGCCCGCCTGTGTATCACACTAGACGCAGCCTGCCGCGCATGGACGCGTTGGTCGCTGTGGTTCTTGCAGAAAGTGCCGCCTTCAGCTGCTCCCTGGTTCCCTGGTATGCCGGCCAGCAGTGGGCCGCAGCGGGCCACGCGGTATGGGGGTGTGACGCCTTCCTGCCCGGAGGACAGGCTCAGCAGCTGACAGATGACTCGCGGGGGTCTTTCACTGCAGCGACGGGCGAGGCGACATACGCTCCTGCACTTGGTGTTGCTCCCTCTGTAATCGGCAACCAGTGGCCGTAAGCCACTCCCTGGTAGCATTCTCTGCCCAGCTCCCGCTGTCCCCCGCCCTTGGGGTTCTGGCAGCGGCCAGCTAACAGTCCCCTCCGTGCTGGGGCGGCTCTCCCCCCGCGGCTGGGCTACCCGCCTCTTTTTGGTCCCCCCCCCCGCGCAGGCGGCTGGGCGTTGCAACGACTCGCCCGCCCTGGCCGTCCTCTCCCCCCGCTCCAGCGGTTCCGTCCCTCCCTGGGCTTGGGGCTCCCGTGTGCACGTGGTACAGCCTGTGCACTCCAGGCTGCCGGCCGACCGTGTTGAGTCGTCCCACGGTTCTGGCGGCGACGCCCGCGGCATCCTCTTGCTCCTCGATTCGGCTCTGGGACGTGGTTCTCCCTGGTTCGGGCAGCCCTCTGTCGTCGGTTTCAGCTTGAGAGTGCGCGTGGCTTTCCCCACGACCGTCACGACCGCCACGACCACGACCCCGTCCCCTTCTCTTAGTTCGTATTGCCGCAACACGTTGGTGGATCATTACAGGCACAAGTGGGATGTTGAGATTCGCGCATGTCGAAACTTGTGGAGGCCCACGAATGGGTCTTCTGCAAAACATATTGGGGGAGCTCACCTCCTCCGAACCAGAATTGGAAGCCTGGAAGAACTCCAGAGCCACGAGGGAGAGGCGTGGGTCTGCTGAAACCGGTGAGTTGCGAAACATTTTACATCATTCGTTGCACTTCTCACGTCAGAGCCAATAGTTATCATGCATGACGGTGCCTGCATTTCGTGCCGCCGAACTCGAAGGTACAGCTTGCAACATCCATCTGTCAGCATTGAACGACATGGTTTCGCCACGACCAAACGCTCGAATCAGATGGGTCAGCTGCCTGATCTGACTGCTGGACCACCTTTTTGCGTTGGGCCTTGAGGCGTTGACCCTGGGATCGGTTATGCCTTCTCTATCTTGATGGCAGCGTCCGCGCACTCCTTAGAGATCCTGCAAGTTGAAGGCCACTTGAGAACTCATTTCCCCATCTGCTCGTTGTCGCCATCCTCCTCTGTCGCCCGTGAATGTTATTTAACTTGCTTCACGTACAGTCCGAGCTCCTGAGACGCTTGCACTTCCATGGTCTTTCTGTCAGAACTTCATGGGCTTGCTGAGTGTGTGGTTGTTTGCTCGTAGCGCTGGGGAGGGCGTGGGCGCGCTGGACGATCACGGTGAACAGGGCGACGTGTGATGGCCCCCTGGCTTTCCAGTCGATCTTCTCGTCCGACTTCTCCTCGCTTCTTCATCGCTGTGTTGGTGTTGTCTCATCCGTTGTTTGCCTCGAAGCACGTAAGGCCCAGATTACCCGCTCCCTCGTCCACGGAATAATTGCGAAAGGCTGCGCATGCCAGCATCGCCGTCCGCCTCTCCAGGCCCATCACCAGCCTCGACATCCCACGAGTGAGCGCGTCCGTGCCATCCTTGAGCCATTTCGCTTGGGCCCCCGACGCCAGGGCACCCCCACGCCAGACAGAAGGGGCGAGCCAGGGAGGCAGTGGTGTTGCCGTCTCGCTGTAATTGTTGTAGCGCAAATTCCCTGACACACAATGCACGTGTTCGTAGGAGTAATCATGTGAGCTACGTTGCGAGCATACGCTTGAGTCCAGGAGCCGCGATCGTGTGCGACAATATCGAGGCGCGATGCTCACCAACGTTTAACCTCAGACACTCTCGGGTCAGCCCCCCCTCCTGCAGCAGTTTCCACGTGTAATGTGCTAACTCCGCCAGCATGCCCGAGTGGTTGTTGATGACAACTGACGCTGCCCGGGGGTAGGGGGGGGGGCAGAACGCATTTGGCATCTGGAGCGCCCATGGGGAAGCATGCGCGGTGAGGCCAGCTTCGAACGACCACGGTTCATAATCGTCGGATTCGACACCGAGCACGAAGATCAGAATGGTTCAGGTTTGTTTATTCATTAGCAGTTGGGTATCCCAGGCTTGTTGCCACGAGAGTCTGCGGGCGCGTAGTTTGACAGAGCACGGTGCAACGCGCCAAAATAGCAAGGACCTGCGCATTCGAGACCTTGTGTTGATGGGATAGCCCATCCAGCAGGCTCCTCCACACAGCAGTTCGGCAGACCTCGGCGATGTGGGCTTCCATAAGGCTGTACTGGTTGTCGCTCCTGCAGGAACACTCCATGGCGGACAGCACAGCGTTCTGGACCAAGGACACAACTCGTGCGCTTCCATCGCATAGATATCCGCAAGGACCAGGCCAATGCGCCTCTGTAGCTCGTGCGATGTCGTCTGGGGGGTGAGACCACGGGGCAGAGGTAGCGTGCAACGTCCGAGACAGTGCCAGACAATACATTGTTTGCAAGTCGTCGCCTCGGGACCACATCACACGGAAATCAGTAACCCGCTTGCCCCTGTTCTGCCACATGCCGTCCATAGCCAAGGCGGGGTCCAGGAAATCACCCGACTGAGTAAGCTGCTTCGCAATGTCGTGGACCGCATTGCCCAATTGAAGAGCATGGTTCAGTGAAGGTCGGTGGCGCAGGCGCAACTGGAGAGGTCAGCTTCGTCATCCTCAGGTAGTGCGCCTTGAAGCACGGACGTGCTCGACTTAGAGTTCACCGTTGCCACCCAGCAGGTCATGGGTCTGGTGGAGGAATTGGGGAAGGCACTAACGATGCACGGGTTGCCCGTCCATCCTCCAATTCCAGGTTCATGACGAAAGTTCCCTTGTCGCCCGTCATCTCGACTATGCTGCCTTTGTAGTGGGCCTTGCATCGGTTCCAATTCTCTGGCTCTGCCAACTTCTCTACCATCGCGTCAAGGGCCTGTGAGGAAACATTGCCGACGGCATCGGAGAGGTTCTTCATTGTGTTGGCGAAGCTCACCTTTGACTTGTGCAGTCGCCAGGACAGGCGCTGCGTGATTCAGATCGCCTCCATCCCGCTTTTCGTGCCGAGTGAGCCCATTCGTTTGAGGTGGAACTCGAACCGAGAGGCGCGTAGCGAACGAAACCACTGCAGATAGATGGCAACGAAAAAAAGACCCTCTTGCCCAGAGCTCCAATTTTCGAGCTTACGTTAGAGAGTCCATGTCCAACGCGGCGAGACCAATAGAGGGGTGCCATGTCGGTCTTTCTGATCGTGGCCAGTCCCAGCAACATCATTTTCTTGAACGTGTCCGTGTTCACATACACCTGCTCGAATCCTATGGATTCCCTGAGGAATCCGAATGCTTTCCGGAGGAATACATTGGATTTCTTGTGGGTTCATGGATTTCCTACTGCATCATGCGTACTGTCTTGAGGAACCCGATGGATTTCCCAAGGAATATTTCTGAATTGCTCAAGGAATATCCTGGGTTCCCAAGGTTATACCGTGTGCATCTTCAGGATTCGTACGGATTGCAACCCGGATCTTATAGATGTCCGATGGGATCCTATTGATTATTATCAGTATTTCTATGGACGTTTAGGGTCATCTTGATCAGAAGTTTCGTGTCCATCGTCATCACTAAGCTGAGATATCCGGGAAAACCGTTTCGTATCCCCCCCTGGACCCCGAACTTTCTTATCCCCCGGGGCGATCATCGCGTGGACAGGGTGATGCCGATCGTGCGGAGGCTGGTGTGTGACCAGAGCTTCTCGACGGAGCCGAGCCGCGCAACCGCATGTCAGTTCAATCAACGAGTTTGTCGGACAGCTCGACACTCCATGCCCCTCGCGCCTCCGCCCTCCCGTCCTCCCGTCCCTCCTGCCCCTCATCCTTTTGTCCTCCCCTCCCTGCCTTCTCCTCCCTCCTTCCCCCCCCTCTTTCGCCCTCCCTCCCGGCATTCTCCCCCCTCCGTTCGCCTTCCCGTCCTCCCCTGCTTCCCGTCCTCCCAGCATTTCGGGCATCATTTCCTTAGCCCGTCGCCTCCCCCGCTCCTTCCTGCTCCGCTCACCTTGTCTCGCACCCTCCCCCCTCACCCTTTCCCTCCGTGCTCTCTCTCACCTGCTCTCCCTCGCCTCGGTCCTCCCTCGCTCCCGCCCTCCCGGAGAGAGAGAGAGAGAGAGAGAGAGCGAGAGAGAGAGAGAGAGAGATTGCAGAAGGAGGAGGAGGAAGAGGAGGAGGAGGCGGAGGAGGAGGAGGAGGAGGAGGAGGAGGAGGAGGAGGAGGGGGAGGGGGTGGTGGAGGGGGAGGAGGAGGAGGAGGAGGAGGAGGAGGAGGAGGAGGAGGAGGAGGAGGAGGAGGAGGAGGAGGAGGAGGAGGAGGAGGGAGGAGAGAGGAGGAGGAGGAGGACGAGGACGAGGAGGAGGAGAGGGGAGGAGGAGGAGGATCAGGAGGAGGAGGAGGGGGGGGAGGGAGGAGGAGGAGGAGGAGGGGGGGAAGAGGAAGAGGAAGAGGAAGGAGGTGCAGAGGAGGGGAGGAGCAGGAGGAGGAGGGAGGAGGGAGAGGGGAGGAAGAGGGAGAGGAGAGGAGGGGGAGGAGGAGGAGGAGGAGGAGGAGGAGGAGGGGAGGAGGAGGAGGAGGTTCGAGGACGAGTAGGAGGAGGAGGAGGAGGAGGAGGAGGACGAGGACGAGGACGAGGACGAGGACGAGGACGAGGACGAGGACGAGGGCGAGGACGAGGACGAGGAGAAGGAACAGGAGCGGCAGACTGGATTTGGAGGAGGAGGAGGAGGAGGTGCATGAGGAGGGGGCGGGAGGGAAGGGGGAGAGAGGGCCAAGAGGCGGAGGGGGCGGAAAGGGAGCCTGAGGGGGAGAGTGAGGGCAATGAGGGACGGGGTGTATGAGGAGGATGAGCATGATGAGAAGTGGGAGGGCGACAAGGAGGAGGACAAGCAGCAGCAACAACAGCAGCGCAAGCAGGAAGAGGAACAACAGGCGGATAAAAGAAGGATGAGCAGGAGGACGCGACTTGGACGACAATGACTGAGACGACGACGTTGATGATGGCGACGCCCCCTGATAGCCGACGGCGCGAAAGAAATGCAACATCAAATAACCGTTTCGCTCTGCACCCCATCTTTCTGCAGCATGTCTCGAGCCGGATCGATCCGCGAGGGCCCCGGTGGCCCGAGACTGGGCGAAACAGTATGGCGTGAACCAGGGGCGTCGACGAGGGGGGTGGGGGTCAACGGTCATTTGGATATCATGGCCAGGGCCATGACGTCTGCCCGATTTCTTGGCCCCTTCTTTGTCTTGCGGCGCAGTTCCTGCCTCATTCCCCCCCTCATCCGCGCACGTGCCTCGCGCTAACCCTCCTCTCCCTCGCCGGGCTCCACAGCCTGCCCGGAGCCAGTGTGGCGGCAGGCTAGTGCCTTAGTAGCTGCATATTCAGAAATTCGCAGCAACTCGTCCCCGACCGAGGACCTCTTCGTGAGCTCATGGCGCCGCGCGAACCTGGCGATGTCCCAGCCCCCCTCTTCGCAAGGGCCATTTCGATTCGATGCGACGGCCGATGCTCGCATAGCGCTGTTGTACATCTTGGCGCGGCCGATCCGATTCGATTCCGACTCCGTGTCTCTGCGGTCCCATTCGACGCCCGTTCGGACTCCGATTCGACGTATCGATTCGGTGTTGATCGATCCTGCCCTCATCGGCGCACTCGAGTGGAGGAAGGCTTCGACGTTCGGATCCCCATGGGCGGCGGCGCCGCGCGCGGCCCCACCACCCCGCGCGCCGGGCGAGGCCTTGAGAGCCCGGGCGGTGTCGCCTGTGCGGGCCCTGGCGATCTCCGGCGCGCTCATCGGCAGGCTCTTCGGCAGCATCTCCGAGGTCCTCCGCCGCTCGACGCTGCGGGCGTTCTTGGACTCCGCGGCCGCCCCAGAGGGGGTCGTCACGGCCAGCCTGCGCGCGTCTTCGGCCTAGGTGACCACAAGTCTGCGTTCTACGCCTTCCTTCGCTATGTTTCTACCCAGTTCTTCCGAACGATGTGCATCTTCGTCATCATCAACGTCATCGTCAAGCATGATCCCTCTCCCGCCCTGCAGCCCAGGGGAGGGGGGACACAGTGTGCTTGAATTGGAGGCCCGTCCCTGGCGCGCAGACCGAGCCAGAGAAAGGCAACCTTTCCTTCAAACTACCGGCCCATCACGAAAGTTTCCCATCTTGGGCACAAGCAGCTGGAGTTATGCCGAGCGGGCACCCCCGTCCATCGTAAACTCCTTGCACAACGTCCTTCTGCCTGGTCGGGGCGGGAGAGCTTCCCAGGGGTCTTATTACAATGAAGAGCGCGTGATCTTCGAAGGATGAAGTTTCCCGCGCTCATGAATTGACACTGGATACGGATACCCGTGGCGACTTCCCACCACTTTGGCTATTTCTGTCATTGTAGCCAAGATTCGCAAATGTTTCATACGGAGATGTACATGACAAGGCTGGTCCTATTCCGAAGCCCATTGTCTAAGAGTTCCTCACGGGGCAAGTTTTTTTGCTAAGCTGGACATTATACTATTCCTCGCAGTTGGCATGTGTTCCATCCAGCGCATCATTTGTGACCAGTTGTTTTGGTGATTGGCCAGTTGTTCCTCGTACGTTTGCGTGGTGTCTATCTCTCAGGTGGCCGTGCTCCGAGACCTGACAGACAGGCCAGCCGCCACCCGTCGCAATCCGGCGGCATCTTCTTTTTCTTTTTTTCAGCACGTCCAGCCTCCGTTCGGTCGCGATCTGTCCCCCATCTTAGATGTTCGTTTTGGGTGCCTATGTGGGTCCCGCCTAATGGATATGTTCGACTCCAGTTCGGTTCTATCCTAGCTCGACTACAGTTCGACTCACGCTCGAATCGAGATTGAGCAAAGTCGACGGACGTCTAACGCAGCATCGACGCATGAGTGGAGCGAGTGGCTCCAGCAAGGCTTCCAGAACGTGCTTCTAATCTAATATGTTTGTGTTCCTCCCCGTCTTCGTTCGCATCATCATCGCCTGGGTTTGGGTGCCTGTGCCATAGTGCTCCCGACATCGTGACCATGTCGTTTGTCTTCGCAGTGGCAAGGACTCTGAGCGGAAAGTGCGGAAGGGGGGGGATGCGGTCTGGGCTTGTTGCGGAAACGCTTGACATTGAGTGTGCATCGAATGTGTTCGGCTTTCGGGACCAGCTCGCTGCAGATGTTTTGTTTTTCTCATTCGGTGTTCGCTATTCGGAACGCATGCCCTTTGCCCCCTCCTAATCCCTTCCGCCTTCCCCCCTCCTTTCCATCGCTCAATCGCTTTGGCTCGAGCTTCCCGTTTGGGACACTCGGTTGTTATCTTTAGGCTGCCCCAAGCAGTTGTGGTCGTGTGAGAGCTTTCACAGGAGTTTCACGCAAGGATTGTTACACCCCTTCTTCGGCCAGAGCAAAGGAGGAAATGACACAGGTGGGAGCAAATGCCCCATGTGGACTTTTGCTTACTGCAGGTTTTAAGTAAATCGTGGAAGACTGGTGGCAGCGCAACCAGTGCCACGAAGGAAGGCCGGAAACTGCTCCATCTCAGCTTGATGTTGGCCAGCCTTCTCTTGGGTGATGGGCTCACGGGTCGCCACCAAGCCTCCAGCTCTGCTTCGGGCGAAGGGCGGCGAGACAGGAGACGACAACAAAGTTGGCAGTAGTACGGCCAGTCACAGGCAGCGTGTACTTCCCCAGTTCGTTCTGCCGGTGTTTTCTCCTGGCTCGAAATGGTCCTTCCTCACTTCTTCTTGCTTGGCGGTCAGCCCAGAGTTTCGCCGTCTGTGCCCGACGACGCCACGCTGGAAGACATCCAGGATACGACTGACATTTTCACCCAAAGCGGGGACAAGGCCCGAGCTCGATGCCACACAAAAGTTTTCGAACACAAGAAAGAGACACTCCGAGCTGTGTGTCCCCCCTTGGAACAACAGGTCAGCCAAGCCCTCAAAGTCGCGCCAGGTCTGGAAGGCAAGCTCGAACGCGCCTTCAATCAGTTCCAGAGTGGTAGGAAAAGCTGAGGTGCAACGGGTTTGGGCCCAGCAGGTTTCGTCCGATCCCGAGGGAGCTGACAAGAAACGCACCAACCTCGTCCGCGTTTGGCACGTCAGCACGATTGATCAACAAGCTGGCCGCCAGCTTCTAGGATCATGTCCTGTTGGCCTCGATCAGCATCGGCCACATCATCGCGGGGAAGCCGGTGTTCCCCATCTCGCTGGGGCCTTTGGGGTAGAGCGACGACGAGTACGGGGTCGACGACGAAGCCAAGGGCGAAGCCAGCAGGCGCCTCGGGGCGCCGCAGTCTGACATCAAGAAGGGAGTGCATATTCCTTGTGGGGAGGCTCCGGAGCGAGTCAAGCAGGACAAAGAGGATCATGATCGGCTTCTTGCCGCGGCTGCAAGGGAAACGGAGGCGCGCCGAGAAGCTGTTCGAAGCTGCTCTTGGCGAAGGAGGAGTGCCCGCACGAGCTGCTGAGATCCCTGAATTTGCGGACGCGCCCGTGGGCCGGACTGGCGCAGCAGCGTCTGGGGCTCCTCGAGGCAGCGTCTGCAATCTTTTAGAAGCAGGCAGCTACCGCCCCCGATGTGTTTCAGACGCATCAATGTTCGGACGGCCTCGAGAGGCCAGCCATTTTTTTCGCTCTTGCGAACATCTCCTGGGCAAAGATGAGGGCTCGGCAACTCCTTGAGTTCTGGGCTCGCGATGCCCTGTCCCGGGACTCGGATCCTCCGCCTCCCTCGCCTCTTTATGGTTATGTCCTTCTCCCTCGCTTTCGAAGCGGCCGGCGTTTCTGGGCGTGGGAGTGGGCAGAAGTACTTATACACGATTTCTGCGCAGTCAGTGTGCGCCCAAGAGCATCGGCTTCTTGTTGGGGGGCGCGTCGAGAGAGCGAGCGCGCGGGCTTGCCGAAGCGGGCCGAGGAAAACGCTCGGTCTGCTCACTTGGGGCCAGGTGGCGGCGCCGCGGGAGGCGTCGCTATTTTTGTTTTTTTGGCTGGGGCATCACTGCGTCGAAGGTGATGCACCTTCCCCGTCTTTGAACATATTCATCGCTGGGGAGGTTGGCGCGCGTAAGGTTCTCAACGTCTGCGCTGCCAGCCTGCGCCTGCATGGAAGGCGAGGCTTCTCCGAGCCGCCCCCCCCCCAGAGCGGCCGGCAGCTCTTTGCTGACGCTGGTCAGTGCAGTTTTCTTCGGCGACGCTCCGGGGGGTCGCAGGCGATTGCAACTCCCCCCCCCCTGGTCTCTTGCATTCAGGGGGCTACCCCAAGCTTCTTGGAGATGCGCCATTCGTGTCCCCCGATGAGGACGATTGACCATCTCGCTGCTAGCCGTTGGCAGAGCTGCGCCATTAATCATAGGGGCCCTGACCTGGTCCACCAATAATGTGGGCCACCCGCAGATCGCCTTAGCACTTTGTATGGAATCCTTCGCGCTGCCTCATCCTGCGCGCGCGCGTGCTTGGGGCTTCGCAGCGCGATGAGACGTACCATGCACGAACGTCGGCCCCTCGTGCGTCTAGCGTGGATTACGTCGCGCCCTGCTCACGTTTGCTTGTCCCCGTTGGCCCGCGACTGTCTGCCCCCCGTTCGGCCCGCCCCCCGCCGGCCCCCCTGGCGAAGCGTCGCGCCCGAGCCTATCCCCGCTAGTTATAGGGAACATACGAAGAAGATGTAGGAGGGAGGAGGATAGACAAGGGCGGAGGATGGGGGCAGGGCGGCGGAGGGGGAGGGGATGCGGAGGATGAGAAAGAGGAAAGGAGAGCAAGAGGGAAGAGGATGAGAGAGGGCGAGGGAGAAGCAAGAACGATCAACGCACATCTTCACCAGCCCGCCCAGACGCGATGCCCAGGCGAGTTGCCTTGACCAGGGGGGGGGGGGGGGGCGCAGCGTCGTCGTCGTCATCGCCGCCGTTGACCATAGGCCGATGACTTAATTTAAGTCATGCGATCGGGTTTCAGACACATCGGTTTCCTCGGTGGCCAGTGCGACTCGCTGAGTTCGCAGCTCGCTAAGCTGCGCGCGCTCGCTTTGAAGCGCCCCGCCTGCCCGCTCGCCGAGATGCTGATCGGGCCCGTGGGCCCGCGCCCGAGCTGCCAAGAAGCTACGGGTGCTGCCGATGGGCTTCTGGCCACTGCCCAGGCTGGCGACGGGCTCGCGCCCGGCAGTTTCCGGGCCAGTGGCGCGAGTCTTGGGCAGGCGCGGCGGAGCGCGAAGTGGCGGAGTTGGTGGGGGTAAGCCTACCCCGCCAGGGCTGCAGGGGGGCCCCGCCCCAGCAGGTCGGATGCGATGCGCGCCCGCGATTTGAACGCCTCCCGCCGTCCTCAGCTCGCGGTCATCGGGTGGCTTTGGAAGGCGGTCGCCCTCCTCGACTCTGTCCTACAGGCGCCGGCCAGCCTCTGTCTCAACGAAGCATAACTCATGGCTTCTCTGCGCCTTCCGTCGCCATCAAGCATCGATGTGGGGCGGAGGCCATTCTTCGAGGGAAGCGCGGCATTGTTTCGCTCTTCCCCCCGCCGCGCCCCCCGCGCGATAAGTCCGACAGTCGGGTCGGGGCGTCTCGGCGCGCCGTTCGCGAGGCCCTTGGTTCTTGGAGGCGAATCTCTTGCCCCGCCAATACTGAATGCTGGGGGGGCTCGGTTGATGAACGGGGTGGGTCAGGGCCCCCCGTGCTTGGAGCCCGTGCGCGGTTCTTTCTTTCGACGGCATAGTGGCCTCGGGCCCGCAGTTGTTGATTGGGTCGGGGGCTTCAGAGTTCGGAACGTCGTGGAGTGCGTCGCCCTCTCCCCGGCCGCGCCCGGCCCGTTTTGCCCCGGCCCCTGGCTCTTCGGATCGAGCTGGACGCGTCTCGAAAATTGGCGTTGAAGCCCAAGCTTCGGTCGGCCGCGGCGTCGGGTGCTTCCAGCATCCGCCGCCATGGGCAGAGCTGCGATGAGGGGTCGTCGCGCGCCCCCGCCCATCCAGGCCGTGGACGTCTCCAGAACCCCCCCTCTCAGGTCGCCATCTTTCTTACGCACGCGATCCCGAAGATCCCCTGTTTGAGTCAGACGCACTGGGATTTCTGCCCGCCCTGCCGAACGCGGGCATTGGCGCAATTGCCTTACGTCGGACCAGTGGGAGCTGGACCAAGCCAGGCCTTATCTCGCCGCGGGGGTTTTCGCAGGGGCGGGAGACACGGCTTGGCGGCAATTTCTGCAGTCCGAACGCAGGATCTGCGTTGGCTTCGCTTCGGCCAATGTTCTCTGGGATTGCGCTCAGCAGTGCGCCCCCCCCCCCCCTCTGGACAAGCTCAAATGAAGATGTGTCCGACCTGGGGCTGGGGCTGATCTCCGATCCAGCGCGCGGCCCCGTTTGGCGCGGCGGGGTGGTGCAGCGCGGCCGCCGCCGTGATCGGGGTCTATCGCGTCGAACCTTTCGACGCCGGAGAGAAGCCCCTTGCCGGCGACTTCAGAATGACGTGCGCCAGAATTTGCATTTCAGCTGCTGGCCCTGTTGGCGATGTTGTTTCTGCCATCGCCATGGGGGCGCTGGCGCTGGGGGGCGCCGCGCTCGACGTCGGCGCTCTCTTCTCGGCCGACAAGGCCGCGCTCACCTGCCCATCGCGCGCGGCGGTTGTCGAGACACAGGACGCCCTGCGCGTCGAACCTGCAGGTCCGCTCGCGCCCGCGCGGGCCAGTCGGGAGAAAGCTGCCGGGCTCCAATCCGTCACCGCGGGCTTGGCGTTAGCGCGAAATTTAGGAGACGTGGCGTCGCCAATTGCAGCTGCGAGGTCCCTGGGAATTCTCGCGCCGGGGTTTAATGTTTGCGCGGTGGCCCGGGCGGGGCGATGAAGCCTGCGCCGTGGCAGCGCCCCCATCGGCGCCTCGATGCCGATGGGGGAGGGCCCGGCCCGGTTGGCCATGGTTGGCGCCGCGCGCCTAGATCGTCTGTCAACGCGCTGCGTCCCGCCGCCTTCCCACCCCCGCGTCTGAGGAGATGCCGCGGCGGCCTTTTCTCCCACCCCCCGCCGAAAACCCAGCGAATGATCGCGGGCACCCCGCCGGCCAGTCGTCTTCATCATGAGGGCCTGAGGTGGGGTGTGTGCCTGAGTCTGACAGGGTGGTCGACGGCCCAGGAAACGCCCATGGCGTTCTGTTTTCTCCCTCGCGCCCCCTGCCTTGTTTAGGACTCACTCGCGGACAGCTGGGCATTTTCTTCGGGGCGGTCAGGGCCATGGCGTCGTTTGCGCCTCGACTTGGGCAGCTCTTGTTTTTCCTTCCCCCAGCGCACCCCGCCTTCAGCGGGGCGCCCCCAGGGCTGCGCCGGAGGGGCCGCTTGGGCGCGCGTTGCAACGAGGCCCCGCCGATGCCAACGTTCTAGCGTTGGCGAATTGCGCGGCGGCCCGACAGATGGCAGGCCTCGTCGCCACTGGAAGCGCCCGTGCCCGGAGGATCAGGGTCGCGGGCTAGTCGAGGAGAGGCGCGTGGACCACGTGGCGTCGCACGTCTGGAATTGCGTTTTTTTTTCCGCCGATGCCCAAGAAGCGGCCCCTTACCCGGGAGATCACATGCCATCCTTTTTGCACATGGACGACGACCCCCATCGACGTTCATTGGTTGCGTGCCCGTCCCCAGCCAGAAAAGATTGGCGGATGTGTCTTCGCCGGCGGATCTTGCCGCCGATATGGGATGGAAGGAGCTGTCTGGGGCCCCGCGGGTGCAGGTCGCGCGCTTCGCCGCCAGACATGTGTAGGACATCAGGGCTGGTGGGCCCGCCTCCCGCCATCGCCTCGGGGCGGTGTATTCGGCTATGATTTTGCGGCTTTCGAGTCCGTGACGGGCCTTTTGTGGACCCATCTCGGATTGCGAGTGCAGTCGAGACGCATGCGGTGCCCAGGATGGAGCAGCTGCACGGCTGAAGGATTTGCGCTGGCCGTCTGTTGCAGGCCAGGGTGGAAGTGCGTTCAAATAGTGTTCATTCGGTGGTGAGCGCCGCACCAGTGCCTGGGCGACCCCTTGGTCCGGGTTGACGCCAAGGGAAAGACGATGCCAATGCAGTGGCGAAGCGCGCCCTCTTTCGGCACCCAGCGGACACGGAAGCCGTGGAAGGTGTCGCTCTCCATCCTGGCCGCGCCCGCGTCTACAGCAGCCTTGCCGTGCACCTCCTCCCCAAAGTTCCTCCTGTTTGGGATCTTGCGGGGTATTCACTGGACATGCATGGGGACTTTCTGGAGGCGTTTCTCGTGTTTCTGGGTGGTTGTGGCCTGGAGGCCCTAATGTCTACCGGGGAATGCTTTCTCTGGAGATAGATTTGCTTCGCGAGGGTAATTATAGCCAGTCGTGAGCATAGGTGAATCGCTCTCGGCTGCAGTATGTTTCGACCACGTTGATTTGTACGTTGTGCAAGTGTTCTAGCTCCTGCGGTCGTATGAAAGGGTTCACAGAAGATGTGCGCCAGAGGTTCTGACATTCGGGTGTTGGGCTTGAAGTGTGGTATTTCGGGGGACGCATCCCACCATGCCCTTGTTCCAAACTCTTTGTTTTTTTCGAAGATTTCCTGGACTCAGAGGGCAAAGGCCCGCCCAAACCTCGCTTCTACGCGTCTGCCTGCCCCGCGGAATCGGAAGACAGGCGTGTTGAGGATATTGTTGCTGGCTTCGCTCGCTCCGCCTCCCGCGGGGGTGATAGTTTTTTTTTTTTTTTTTTTGTTTTTTTTTTTTTTTTTTCTCTCTCTCTCTCTCTCACACTCTCTCTCTCTTTCTATTTCTCTCTACTTCTCTCTATTTATCTCTCTCACTCTCTCTTTCTCTCTCGTTCTCTCCATATATTTCCATGTGTTTGTGATGTTTGTTTGTTGGTCTCTCTCTCTCTTTCTATTTGTTCTTTATTTCTTTCTCTCTCTCTCTCCCTCTCTCTCTTTGCGCAATGGGGGGCACGCGGGCCGAGGAACGTGTTTCAGGCGTTCGCGGTTTGGCCCTCAGTTTATATCTTAGGCGCTCGCTACCCTTTTGACGGCGGTGGGTGCTGAGAGTCAGAAGGTGTTTGCCCATTTTATGATACATTGCATCGCGGACTGCGGACGCACTCCATTGCCGTCCGGTTTCTTTGCGTTGACCTGCTGTGCGTTGTTGTTGGTCGGCCCGAAGAAATTGAAACGTCATTGCCAATCCGCGACCATGGGGTGGAACTGGCTGGCATACAATGTTGTGCTGGGGTCCCTGCGGTCGCCTGTCTCTCTGCCTTCCGCCTTCTTGTGTTTGGCCACGCGCGCCACAATTCCAAGTGGCATTTCCCTCGGTTGCTTATGCAGTAAGGTCTTGATTGTTGCTTGCCACGCCAGGCAGGTCCAAGAGTGAAAGCGGTTAAAAGGGGGCAACCATATCCTCTCCCTCGGAGCCCTCCTTTGTTCTCCCCCTCGTTCCCGTTATGTCTCTTTCTTCCCCCGTCCCACGTTTCACTGTTTTGTGTGGGTAGGTGGGTGGTTGGAAGGCGGCGGGCGAATAACGAATGGAGGATAATTTGGACGAGGAGGAGGAGGAGGACCAGGAGGAAACAATAATTGGAAGGACAGGGAAGAGGAAATTGCTGGGGAGGGTGAAGATCAATATCCACGCAACGCAAGTAGTGGAACACCTCTTTATGCGCACGGCTGCAGCGGGAACAATGCTCGAACCGGAAACGGCGGGGGAGGGCCCTCGAGTCCGTCGTCGCGGGCAGCACGTCAGGAGCCTGCAGGCCCCATTTCCATTCTGCAAGTTGAAGCAGTGCGTGAGGGCCCCAGGGCCCGAAGCCTTGCGAGGCCGCCCGCCGTGACCGAATATTGCAGCGACCAGATGTCAAGGGTGAGACGGGGACCACGCCAACCCTTCGGATCCCGCAGAAAGAGGGACGGTGGAGGAAGGATGGGGCGGGGAAAGGGAGGGAGGAGTAGGATGAGGAGGTTGGGGGGCGAGGGCAGAGGAGAAACAGGGAGGAGGAGGAACACAGAGAAAGGATGAGGAGGAGGAGGAGGAGGAGGAGTACCAGTGTAAGCTCAAGACGCATCAACGATGTTGAAAAACACCCTCCCTCCAAGATCCTTCTTCACAGGCCCCTACAAGCGTCATTTCCACAGAAATATGCCCCGTCGGGGGACACCCGTGTGAACATTATGAGGTGTACCAAAACACCATCTTCAGGATTTCCACGCCGCGAGTTAACCTGATTGTTACGTCTTGGCAATCCTGAGTCGTGCCAGAAAGCCATTCCTGGGATTTTTGTTCCGCGAATCAACGTTACTGTTGCGCCCAGACAGCCCTGGATCATTCCAGAAAACCATGTCTGGCACGTTAACCATGAGAACTAATTACAATACTGCAGAGGTTTAATACGAACATGCGCGGTACAAAAGCGAAAGGCACATTTTGAAAACCAACCGCCTTCAATCCGCGAAGGTCTCGCAATTGTTCTAAACGAGTGTGCGCGGCGCTAAAGCGAAAGCCGCAATTTGAAAACAAGCCGCCCTCAATCCGTGAAGCGTCTTGCACATTGTTGAAACGATGCGCGCGGCGCGAAGGCGAAAGCCACATTGTGAAAGCCACCCACCCTCAATCCGTGAAGCTCGTGCAGTTTCTGTTAAACGAATGAGCGCGGCGCTGACGCGAGAACCGCAGTTTGAGAACCACCCGCCCTCAATATCGTGAAGCTTGCGCACTTCGTTAAAAAACGAATTTGCGCGCCGCTGAGGCGACAGCCACAGTTTGGAAACCGCCTGCTTCAATCCGTGAAGCTTTTGCAAATTTGGGAAACGAAGGCACTCGGTACTAAAGCGAGAAACACATTTTGTATACCACCCGCCTTAAGTGTTGCCAAATTTTAGGCATCAGGGGCATGCGTGGGGAGGAATTCTCAGGCAAAACGCCTAGCCCGCCCTTTCGACCGGCCCCGGGGCTCGACAGGGAAGGTCTATCTGTAAGGAAAAGGAATGGAGGAGGAGGAGGAGGAGGAGGGAGGAGGGATGACGGAGGACGGAGGACGGATGCGGAGGGGAGGGGGAGGCTCCCATCCCAAGCGGCGCGTTCCTCCACGAGACCGCGCCTCGGATCCCCGCCTCCGCCCGGCAGGCAGCAGATGGCCGTCGCGGCATTGTTCCAGGTTCGCCATCGGCGGGCGGCCGGCCTTGGTGTAACCGGCCCCCCCGCTTTTTCTTTGCAGCTTTCCGCCTCCACCCTCCTCACCGTGCACGTCCATTCGCCCCCCCTCGCCAATCCCTCATCCATCCCCTGCCACATGTACACATTCTGAATACTACTTTCCTCTCTCCCCAAATGTCGTCCCGAAAACAACCGGCCCTTTCCGCGTAGCGTTTTCGAAGAAAATCATCAGCTCTGTATTGGCGCTTTGCAATCCGATTGCTTCCGCTGTGTTTCAAAATAGTGCTCCCGCTGCAGCGGCTGCCTCGTGTCCCGATAGGCGCTTTGCTCCCGTCGTAGTGGCGTTCCCGCCCCAACGCGGGCCACTTTTCTGGATCCGAGTCCCTCTTCATCGTTGTCGCCCCCCGTCATTTCCCCTCCGCCTTCTCCTGGTCCATCTGCTCCTCCCGCTCTTTCCACTCCAGCTCCTTCTGCTTGTTTTCGTCCTCGTCCTCCGTCCCTCTTCCTTGTACTTAGTAGCTCCTCCCTGTCGCGCCCCCAGACGTTCTGATAGGACCAGTAGGGCGTTTCGCCTGATACTTCTTCACCACCAATGCCCGTGACCCTTGAAATTGAAATATGTAACAGTTTCACGTATGGAACGCGGGCTGTTTTCAAAAGGTGGTTTTCGCTTGGGCGCCGAGCACATTTCCTTTAAAATTTGCAGCAGGTTCTCGGATGGAAGGCTTGTGGTGTTCAAGATGTTCTTCTCGCTTTGGCGCCGCGCATATTTGCTTACAAAGTTAACAGCAGTCTCATGGATGGAGGGCGGTTCCTTTTCAAAATGTGGCTCTCGCCTCAGCGCCACACATGCGTTTCAAAAGTTCGCAGCAATTTTGCGGACTCGGTTGGTTGAGTTCAAGCCGGGGCAAGCGAAGGGGCAGGGGCGAGGAGGATGAGGAGGAGCATTCCGAGGATCAGGAGGAGGGGGAAGGGGAGGAGGGAGGACGGCCTTTGAGCACTCTTTCACTCCCCATTTGGTCTCTCGAGTGCTCCCTTGGGCACTCGGCGCACCTCTGTTCCGCAGGAGTGATCCCTGGGCCACTCTGCACTTTGTACCTCGACTTCCCCCTCCCAGAGTGGCATTCGGGTGCTTTCGGAGTGTTCGGGGGTCTGGGGAGTGCTCACAGGAAGCTGTCCAGTGGCGCAGAAAGTGCTTCCCAGAGCAGTCCCAGAGTGCCCCGGGTCCCCGAGCAGTGCCCCCCCCAAGAGCAATCGCAGCGTGCCTTGGGGATCTGTGCTCCCGGCCCTGGGGGGAGGCTCCCGGAGTGTGTTTCATTGCGTTAAAAAATGCCCCTGGCTCTGGGTGGAGGCCCCCAGAGTGGTCCCAGAGCGGTCCCAGATGTGTGTTTCTACTACTTTTGAATTGTCCTGGCCTTGGGAGGGGGGCCCCTACTCCTCCTCTCCTCCTCTGTCTGCTCCTGCAGCTCCTCCTTCCTCCCACCCCCATCCACTATCGCTTGACATCCTGCCTCCTCCTCATCCTCCTCCTCCTTCCGTAGCCATTTTAGCTCAAGATGCATGTTCCCCCTGGGGGCCAAACGGATACCGCTAGTCCGCGGTTAGTCCATGTTTCTCCGCCTGGTCCGCCTCGGGTGAGGAGCGCTGCGCCAGAGTACAGCGCCGCATTTCGCCATTCGAGTCACTCCAGTCTCTCCAGCTGTCACTGCCGCGATGGGAGGACGCTCCGACCGCTCCCGCTGGTGTCGTTGCGCCAAGGATGAGATGGAAGACAGCCGCTCGCCGACGCCAGAACGACAACGTGAGCGTCGATATGATCGTGGTGGGCGGAGGATCGAGATGATCGGTGTCGCTCTCACAAGTTACACTCTGATGATGAAGATAATTGCGCTAGCGATTCCCGCTCGAGTTCACACCGTGGAGACGATGCCCAGACGCCGGCGTGGATGAAGACACGCATGGAACAGAACGGCTCCAACACTGCGACGCTGCATTACTTTGAGTCTGCGATGGCCAAGGACATTGGCAACATGAAGAAGGACGCTGCTTCGCCAGGGGAGCGCGCCGATGCGATCAAAAGCGGAGCAGGGTTCGAGAAGATCGATAATGACTTGGCTGCGTTCGCGCGCACTTGGTGCTGGAAGTGTTGGCGGGTCGCATCACGTTTGTGATAAAGGCTCGCTCACTGCAGATCGGAAGGAAGTATGGGTCGGTGGTTTCCCGAGGCCGATGGTCAAGAGGGTGCTCTAGGCATGTGTTGCGGACATCAAGTACCACATGCCAGCCGCAGACCACACGGGCCTTCATAACGAAGAGCTGCACGCACACGTTCGACTGCGAGGACTCCGCCTGGTGGTTCCTCGAGCGGGCGCGCAGCATCGGCCTCCAGTGATTTGACAAGCGCAACAGTGTCACGATACCTCTTCGTGTGCGCTTCGACTTGCCCGCTGCCGTTTGTGCCAAACATTGAGTCTTGCGTCAGTTGTGCCAGAGTTGCAATCACCATGGCGCCCGCACGTTCCCGAAGTTCAGATGTGTCAGTTGGGTTGCACTGGTTTCAGAGGCAATTTGTTCGTGATTGCGGGTGGCAAGATCGAGAAATTCTTCTCGCTGAGAACGCAGGATCGTGACCAGTGGGCTGTGGAGCCAGAGTGCGAGTCAGTCCTGCGTTTCAAGATAGCGAAGGAAAGGCTGACTCCATGGCCGCCGCCGCCTTCGAGACGGCGAGCTGGAAAATTGATCGGTTGTAGTTCGCTGGCCGTGGGTCAGGCAGCTTGCGTCTGCCTGATGGGAGCACGTTGGCAGCTGGGGCTGCCTCGGACATGACACGAGATACTTTATGCAGTGGGTGTCCTGGCAACAGTGACCCAGAGAGTTCCTCTACCTCTACACCTTCCAGTTCTACTTCGGCTGACTTCTCCGAGATCCCCGGGGATGTCCTTGAGCAGCCTTTCGAAAGTTCTCTATCGCTTCCTCGTACGTCCGCGCGGTATTCAGTTGTTCCGGGTCTTCTCCCAGCGCCCTGAAAAGAAGCATCGCTTTTTCAAAAACATGCTTGACAAGCAGTCTGTGGTTTGCGTTCAGGAATCGAGAGGCCCCCCACCCGACTGAACTTTGGTTTGTAAGGGTATCCTGGGTCTTGCATGACGGGTATGGCACGTTCTTTTCCCTCTCTCATGTACCCGCCATTAGATGCGCCATCCTTCTCAGCCGGCCACTTCCCGAGCAGTTCGCACATGTTCGGCGCCGCATCGTGGGGCGCGGGCGAGTGCGCTTTGTTCGGTTCCGAGGGCCTCGGGGAGCTCTGCGCATGGCGAATGCGCGCAGTGATCACGGCCCCCGCAGCGCCCCGAAGAAACAAGTACTCGCGCGAATGCATCGGCAGATTGCCGCTGCTCATAAGGCCGTTATTTTTTATCTGGCGACTGGAACTTCTATGCTCCCGGAGAGGACAGTCCGCAGATGCGTGCGGGACTCCTGCGCCCCATCCGGGAGCGTCGGGCCCGAGTTTTCTAGGTTCGGCGAGATCGATCAGCCCCGTGCAACGCGCAGAGTTGCACGCGATTTGCGCATCCGCTCTGCAGGCAGGATTGATGAGATTTACACGCACGCCCACGCCGCCACGTTGCTGTACTTGCCGCCGAACAGCTTCCTCCTGGCATGCCCCTTCGATTGGAAGTCCCGTCCGATCATGCTCCCACGCGTGATCTGCTTCGTCCAGGCGGTCCTCGCTGCCCCCCTTAAAGTGCCCAGTTGAGTCTCTAGGCGCTCTGATTTCCCCGCCGTCTGCGAGGAGCTCAGAGATCAGCGCGGCCCCCTGCGCGAGGGCCCCTGGGAAGCCCGCGCGGAGCTCAAAGGTTTCATTATTGCCGCTGCCTCTATTTTGAAAAGTCGTCTGGGGCATCGTGGGGCCTCGACTGTTCCCGAGTTTACCGCGCGGCGTCTTGCTGCGACGCGCGCCCTTGCTGCCGCTGCAAGGCGGCGGCGGCTAGGCGAGCGTGTTCAGCGCGTCCAGAAATTAGGGGGTACATTTGCCATGGTAACATCATCTGGATGGACAATCGTGGATTGCGCGCTCACCTCGCCGATAGCCGTAGACGCTCGATCCGTGCAAGAGTGCAGGGGGCGCACCCGGGCCAGGGCCTGCAGTGTCGCAAGCAGCCTCGGCTTCATCGTCTCACTCAGCATGCTGCAGCGTGGGGCGCCCCTGGCCGAATCTGTCAACTTGCCGCGAATGGGTTTAGGGTTTAGGGTCTAGGGCCCACTAGCCCAAACTTGCAGCCCACTTGGCCGCGCCCCACCCACCCAGCACCCAAGACATATTGATCTCGATGCGGTACCAACACGCGACTCGCAAAACGACGACGAGGACGACACCGATGACGACGACGTTGATATTGTTTTCAAAACGACGACGACGCGGCCGCGCAAAGACACCTGGGACGCGGCTGCAACGGCGATGCGGCCCGCGCGCCACGGCGCGCGGAGGCCGATGCAAGAGCGATGCGATGCGCGCACGCGCGGCGCCACAACGAGTAGCCCCACCCCCCCCCGCAGAAACTCACCGACGCCGTGGCGATGCATTAACCAGCTCGACGCGAGGCGCGCGGAATAATTCGTTGCTGGGCGAGATCGCTGCCCGCGACGCGGCGCGCGAAGGCCGATGCATGGGCGATGCGACGCGCGCGCGCGCGCGAAGAACCCAGCTCGACGCGACGCGCGAGGAATAGTTCGTTGCTCGGCGGGCGCGCTCCCCGCGACGCGGCGCGCGAAGGCCGCGTCGACGAGGCGCAGCTGCGCCTTCCTCCGGCAGCTTCTCGGCGAGAGGCTCCCGGGGGAGGGGGGCTTCTGGGCGGCCGTGGTCGCCCCGCCGCGCTGGCTCCGTGGCGCTTGAGCGCGCCGCGGAGTGACCGCGCGACGGGGCGGCCATATCCGCTCGGAAACCCAGGGGGCCGTGTCCAGCCTCCACGGGGCGGCCCTTGGGGAAGGGCACGGGGGCGG